CCTTCCTTCATGTTCCTAGGAAAAGAAAGGTCTGCCCAGCAGCTTATTGCTTAACACATAGGTGCATCCCTGACTGAAGGATGTCAAACCTAAAGGAAAAAAAAAAAAAAACAAACCAAAACCACAAACCAAAATAACCCCAACAAGCCACAAATCCCTTATGTTTGCCACAGCCTGGAGAGATTCAAGATGACCCTAACTAGGAGAGCTAACAGCTCTTTAATGTCACAAGCTTTATACCTTTAAAAACCACTGTAGTTACAGACATATGAGTATCCTGCATGAATCATCCTTTGTCACCAAACTCTTGCCACTATCTACAATCGGGAACAAGCTTTTTGGGACAAATATCTGCGTTTTGACGAAAGCATTGAGGTACTAATATTCATAAGATGCTTCAGCCTGTGGCAAACTTGAGATGTCACTACAGAAATTCACTACCTCTATATCCACTGCCCTGATCTGATGCAATGCCTACAGATGTATGGCTTGAAAATGGCTCTCCCTGTACTGGGTTTGTCCAGCAATGAGGTCAACTACCTATAAATGACATCGGCATCCCCACAGAACAATAGCACATTCGCAGTCCCAGCTTCTCTGCAAACAAGTAGAGAACAGATAAAATGAGGCTCAGCAGAGCTCAGAAAGGGAATCTTCACACTGGTCTTGTGGATGGTTTCTGTATGCTGGAAGCCACCTGCTATTTCATCCCAGGCGGTAACAGGTTACTGTTTCCTGTGCCCTCCCAAAAGTATTGTAAACCTCAGTTCACATTTGTTAAGTGCTTGAGATACACAGTTAAAAGACTAAAGTAGATTTAAATGTACAGACATAGCTATATACTTCATAATTGGAATAAACAACAGTGAGTTGTTTATAAATATGGCCAACTGCTCATCAGTTCACTGCTTTTCTGTAACCCATTTTGCCTTATTCCTGCTACCTTGTTAATAGACAATATTATCATCTTTATAGACAAAATTATAATCCTTATAGTCAGAACTTCAACTAGCAGCTCTTGACTTGTGCTCATACATTCCGGTTCTGTGTCTCCCTACAAGTAGTCCCGAGTTTATAAACTCCCAGGGACTCGAGTGGCATTCAACACGGGTGTACTTGCAAGGTTATGTCCCTTGGTCAGCAAAGCTATAAGGATGAAAATAAGGTTCCTTTTTTGTCTGGGATGTGAAGGCTGAGCACGCTGGCAGGTACCACAGTACTAAACAATACAAAGATGAATAGTTCATAATAAATATTGCTTCAACATTTTATCTTCGGTGAATTTTCAACTCAGAATTGAGATGTATCTATGGAGCAGCTGTACATTCCTTAGTACGGGAAAGCCAGTGTATTTTCTAGTTGTTCCTCACGACAAAACAGTACCCCAGTGCTTTTGGGCTAAGAAGACTAGACTGGTTTTGTACAATACCAAGATACTAACTTTGGACCCAGTCCAGTGTGGTTATTAAGAATAGGTAATGCATAACATATGTCAAAGCAAAGGCTGTCAAATCGGGCTGACAACTACTCACATCTCAACCATATAACTTGGCAATGCGGGCGTTTTTTCCATAATATAAAGCAATTCCGATCAACTGCAGATTGCACTGCACAGAAGGTTCGGCTACAAGCAGATGCCAGGCTCTCACTATTCATCTGGAGACACATACAGTACGTGAACAGAGTAAAGAACTGATTTGTGATTCAAAATAAATGTTTATCTTTACTTGGCACCAGAGGCAATACAGAGTTGCAGAGTGTGCTCACTGGGCAAGTACCACAGGGTCCAACAGTCGCCTGGGTTTTGAGACCCCACCATCCTGAGGACCACAGCTCATCACACCTCATCTACAGCCGCCAACGCATGTTTACCTGTGTAACCCCTTCTCCTTCCAAGGGGTAACAGATACAGTGCCAAGGAGATTGAGTGACAGGCCAGATTGAGTCCAGGGATTGCTGATGCTCTGTGGTTGTGTCTGAATGAGGCCCACACACAAGGGCCATGCTTAGCATGAGACATGATGGCTTAGAAGAATTATTTTTGTACACAGACATATTTTACATCCACATCTATATGTTTCTGTAAAGACATACATGTATGTATCTGTCAATATGTATGTGTATAGGGGTTCAAAGTAAGCCTCAACTTCTGGTTCAGCATCACAGCTCATTAGAACAAAATACTGTAGTTAGTTACTGTTAACACAAATACAAGAGTAGGTTCAGGTACAAAATATGACATTTCTTTCAGTTGCATTTAGGCACACTGGGTTATGTGGCTTCCTAACCCTTTCCAGGAATACGGGAGACCAAAAAAGACCCTTCTATCTCTATTTTACTTTATCTTCAACTTCTGTGTGCAGGAAGCCTGCGCTGTCTTGTCTAGTGCTTTACTTTGTTTCACATCAGTTGTGTCTTATTTCAGAAGGAAAGTCTACACAATCGTTTTGTTATAGTGCTTTACTGATTGCACCACTCACATCCAAACGGGTAAGCAGCATATGGTTTTTCATTAAAAAGCAGCAGCCAGCATTAAGGATCTAGATTTTCTGGAGGTTTCCATCCATTTAGAAGCTGCTCGAGTGCAATAGGCTTCTACAGAAGAACAAACTCCTCATTGCAAGGCAGCAAAGCACACACAACATCAGATTCAGCAGAATGGCACCATCTCAGACTGATGCAGAATTTGGCTCACACTAATTGATCATGAGTTGTTCCATATTTTCTTGGCCTTGCTGTAAGATGTTTGGAAACGATCTAGTACTAACTGCCCTCAGGCTTTTCCACCCACTTACCTGGCATGGCATTCTGTTCCTGCTTCTGGTGAAAATTTCAGGGAAAAACCACATACAGGCAACCTCCACTTAACCAGGTACAGTTCATCTATCACTTTCTATTGCAATCACCAAACGCTTTTATGGCAATATAGAAAAGTTTGAGTCTAACACATGTGATATCAGTGCATCCTCTACCAGCTGAGGAATAAGTTCATTTACACACTCGTGTTTGGCTACTGGATTTCATGGGTCTCTGCTTATAGCAGCAGACTCTGAATTAGAATGAAGAGTTCCAATTTCTATTCCAATTTCTATTTGATCTACCAGACCTAAGAGTCTCCTTAATTTATGAATTATCAGGAATAAGCAGATTTATTTATATATTTTTTCCATTTATTTTTCAGGGACAAAATTCCAGTTCCTTTCCTTACAATGAATAGTTTCTTATTGCAAACATTGTTCCAAATTTGTTAGTGAAAAGACCGTTCCCCGATATCAGTGGACCTGTCACAGACAGATAGCGGTTTGCCCCATTAACATGTTAAAGAGGAAAAAAAACAACTCGCATGGAAGAGACATTTGCAAGGCTTTTATCATTTGGCCAGAGAGCAAAACAGTATATCAAGGAGACAACTTCAAATGTATCTGCAAGGACAACATTGCACAAGGAATATCACTAACGTTTCAGGGCTTGCTCCAAGAGGTCCTCATCCACCACCTTGTGAGGGAGAGTCACCTTCAATGTGGCATTCTCCTTCATTGCTTGGCAGATCGTTTCATAAGCGTAGTCATTACCTGACCAGCAGCGTCTGGCGACCTGTCAGACCAGAAAATCAATTGGTGTAAAAATCGTGCATTTCTCTTGCCACAACCATCTTACACAATATTTGCGCAAACACTGGCACCCAATTTCATGACAATAAATCTTTCAATCCTCTGCCACTTCCTAGTTTCCGTACTGATTTTGGAAGTATGTTTTGTAATACCAACTTCATTTTTATGAGTACTATTTGGATAGACTTGATACATTTGCATGCAGAAACATAACACTGGACAGAAAATATTGGTAGAGCCAGGTACTTACAAGCTTTACAAAATTCTCTCACTAAAAGTAGTTGTGCACTCCACCCCAGCTCTGTAAAACTAGCACTTGCTTTAGATGACTGTATTGTTTAAGCAATCGATGCTTTTGTATTGGGATAAATATTTAAAAGGAAAATATCACTCAATGTGTTTTCAAACTATGAAACCAAGGAGCCAAATTCTCTGCCAGCACATAAGGATGAAACTCTATGGACAGCCAGGGAACTGGTAAATGCCTCTTCCAACAGAAAAAACACTGTGTTTTGGTCTGCGTACAAGCCAGATTCCCCAGAAGAAAAAAAAGTCAAGATTTGGCACAAAGGAAATAAGTCCTTCCCTCTATTCAATGCCTTACAAATCTCTATTATGAATTGCAAATTAGTATCTGAAATATTCAGACTCAGAAGCATTCAAGAAAGAAAATACTTAGGTTCCAATTTAGCAAAATATTTAGACATATGATTAATGTAAGCCTAATAAGTTCCCAGGATCATAGTAATAACAGCTAGAAATGACCTTTCAAACTAACAATTCAAGTTTCCTGCCACTCATCTATGATTATTCCTGGCAGTATATTTTCAAAGGTACACTCCAGTTTCTTTCCAGTCTTGTATCTAGTATGGGTAGCAGTCTCAGAATATCCTTTTTCAACATGTGTGTGGAGGAGCAAGGCTTTTGCTCGCAATAAATCAGAGCAGCAAAAGATTTATTGGGTTTTTAATAGGCTGTCTGATACACAGTGCACGTTAAGGTTTTGTCTTCATTAATTTAATCTACAAATTAATATAATTGTCCTCCTCCTCCTTCCTTAATAGTTTACTAATGTGTTATTTCAGATCTGGGACAGGGAATACGTGCAAATTGTTCCTCCTCCTCTTCTATCCCCAGTCATGCCAGGTCTTATGGGGAGAAAAAAAAATATGTTTAGGTCTAAGGCAAGAAGGAATTCTGCAGTTCTTATGAGAAGTAAAACAGAACAGATCATGTCAGCACTGGCAAGGAGCTCCCTCAATACATCAGGTCCTTGTGAGGTTTCATGACTAAAAAGCAACAGGTTTTGTCCTTTAATCAGACTATGCATAACTGTGTCCTGCTGATTAGGTTCCCTGCAAGTATTGAATCAAAATCTCTCTGCCACTTCAGAGATGGGATCCTAGTCTTAAACCCAGACAGGATCTATCTGGACACTAACGGAATGCAAAAACTCTAACGGCAGGAAGGACCGGGCGAGCTGGCACTTCAATGACAAGCTTTGCAAGATACCTAGGTCTAGAAGTGAGGAACAGACAAGACTAAAGTTCATATATTTGTCAATTGTATTATGTAAGCAAACAATAATGCCAACATGTCTAACAAAATTATCATAAGCATGCTTCCCTTTCTGCTTAAAAAATAACAAAACACACACCGAGATATGTGGAAACTGTTGGGCTCCAATACGTTGTAAAGTCAGAGGGGGTGGTCCTCACACTTTACAGGAAGTTCCTTACCCAAGAATTATTCTGCCTTTTTTTATTGACTTAAAGTCCTTTGAAGTTGGTTGCAGAAAAAACCCAACCAAACAACTTCTTGGCTCTCGTGGAATCAGGCTCATAACGACCCGTATTAGCAGCAGTGAACAGAATGAGTCTCTTGGCCCATTAGGACTATTCCTGGGACACAAAAAGACAGATCCCCAAAACTCCTGCCTGAGTGCTAATGCTCTCATTCAGTTAAAAAGAACAGGACCACTGGAACCTGAGTACCTAAATAAACATAGTCCCAAAGGCAGGAAGATACTAAAGTGAACACATATATAAAAAACTTTGCTTACTCCATTGGAAACATCCCAGCTGAGCATCATCTTAGCCCGTTCTTCAGCCTCTGTGGACCCATCTAAAACCAGGCCAAATCCCCCATTGATCACTTCACCCCTGCAAAATATAAATGTAAGAGAAATAAATCAAAATAATTCTAACTAATCCCACAAAATTCACAGGAGTTAATTTGTTTGGTTGCCCTGCAAGAAGGAGGACGAGAACACAGAAATGGTACTGAATAAGAAACACTATCAGTGACCTTCTGTACTTACAAAAAATTTTTTTAAAAGAGGGAGTTTAGCTGGGCAAAGGCTTAGTTTCCTGACCTTCAGCAAACTTATTTCACCTTTCTTGTAACGCCCAGCTAGCAGTCAGCATTTGCTCCAAGCAGGAGTGCCAAAAATTAAGCTTGCGCTGCTTTTCCTGAGGACGACACACTGTACTGGCTCTAGAAACAAGTAAAGAAAGGTTAGCACCTCTGATGGGCTGGAGAGTTACCTGTCTCGGGGTATTTTTAAAGGTTAAGCTGTTCATGGTTGCTACGCTAGAACCTACCATACAGATAGGATCATGAGGAGGACTGCGTACTTATTGAAGCAGACAGATGAATCTATTTATATTCTCTCAGGACAAATGAGAGAGCATAAGTATTTTATTAAAAAAACGTTAACCACCACTTAATGCACATCTGCCTTGATCATTTAAAAAACAGTCATTCATTTTGTATGAGATATATAGATGTTTAAAGACGTCAGTGCCAACTTTTCAGGAAGCAGACTTATTGGCAGAAGAAGAACAGAAATATGTTAAAACTAACAGATTATACTTGGGAGAAATACCAGTCTGGTTTTAAAAGGACAGAGAAAACATGTAGAGCAAAACATCTTGTCTGACTTCAGAGTCTGGCCCGCTCAAGTTCCTGTTGCGTTGCATATGGCGAATAGTGGTGAATGCAGTTGGATAATTATCTGTTGCTGTAAATCTATGAGAATTCTGGCTTTATAACTCAGCATCTGCAATACCTGAGGGATGGGGCATACTAAACACCAACACTGGTGTGAGAGGCCACTAGTAGAGATCCCTGGAGTCAGGGGGTTTTCCTCTGTGTTTTATAGTTAATGTAATGAGTAAGTTTACAAAATTTACATAGAATGACTTCAGACCTATCCATGAACCAGACAGGAGTTAGGTGTCTTCCAGTCCAGGACAGAATCATTTCTTACTGCATATTTTCCAGCAGTAACTTGAGCTTCTCAGGAAAAGGAGAAATGAGACTACATTGGAGCCTCACAGACCTGACATATACTTCCTGAAACTAGAACTCACATTTTTCTTTTTTCAGTGTCATGTTGTTACTTACGTGACGTTAATTCCCTTTCACTAGTTATATACACTACCTGTGTGCTGAGTAGGACCCTATCACACAGCTGAGCAAGGAACTTAGAGCTCCAGATCTCACCATCACGGTGCCATTCTGCGAGTTCCCTCCACTTTACCATTATTGGATATATCATTATTACAAATACATTTTCTGTTGAAAGGCACAGTTTTCTTGAAACTGACAGTTCTCACAGCAGAATGTCAGTGAATGAATCAGTTTATCTTTAACAGGAAAATTTGAAAAACGTTACCACATTTTCAACTGAGATGTCTGAATATTGTAAGCTTTGACTCTTCAAAACAAAATGTTTCTTTTTGATTGACACCATCAACACTTTTCAGCCTGGAATTTAACTCCCAGGATGTTTTTACTGTATGAAAACTTTCATTAGTTCTGCTCTTAGTCTCATTTTAGAATCCAAACAAAAATGCAAACATCTGCATTTCTTGCAAATTCCACTTTTTGAATCGCTCATGTTGTTACTGTCTTCTCCAAAAGAGAAGACCAGACTGGATGACAACATTACAAATGTAATTATATCAAGACCAGGGCCAGTTACCTCACCACACCCTGCTGCTTCTGTGAACAGAGACCAAATTAGCACTATTGTTTACTGTCAAAGTACCAAGGTAGAGTACACATAGAATGTCAATGACGCCGTTGCAATGTAATTGGGGTCACCGTATGAGCACACCTCAAGACAGCCTATTGGCAATACCAGATAATAGAAAATCAGACCTCCAGACCAGTGCTTTATCAAGATATTCCACATGGGAAGATGATGTTCTTTCGGCGGCAAAGTTCCCCTCTGTGCACAGCATCCCAAAGAGCATCCTTTGAAGCTTAGGCATGAACAGTGAGTGTCTGATCTCACTTGCACTCCATAAATTTAGAGCCTCTCCATCAATTTCCATGGAGTTACTCCAGTGTAAATCAGAATCACTCATCAGAATCTGTCCTACTGTCTAAAAATCACTCAAATTAAATGGCAATGTTTGTTAGGATGGATTTTCTAGCAAAACCTCTCACTTTTAAAGGGGAGCTCTCTGCCTTCATTAGCATTGGGTCACATTTTCAGGTAATTAAAGAAACATGTGGCATTTTGACCTGAGCTACCTCCTATAATTTCCAGATGTCTCCTCCTAAGGTGATCAAAGAAAACAAGGCCTCTCTCACAATCAAGATGTCACACTGTCAACAGTGCAGTTTAAATTCTTAAATTGCTTCTGCCTTTTTGTTACTACAGGTTACTTGGGCTCTGTGCTGATATACATTCTCCTGCAAATAAACAGGCAGCGAGAAACGAATAACATTCATTTGCTGTAATTATAGTCAAGACTATGTTAATCTTAAGTCTCTCAAACAGCACATGTGATGCAGATTCCAGCTAAATAAATATTAATCCTGCTTTTTCTGTTTGTCCCACAAGGCTACAGCACAGAAAAATCAAAGCAGGTAAAAGGCGCTTCTCCAGCCTCACAGGGAAGACGTGGCAGACCTGTCAGCAGTTCCAGGCAAGCCCAGCCCGCACAGGGACGATTGAGAGCTGCACACAGCACAATTGCCATTTCAGAAATCCCTCAACAGAAACGTGCCAATGACAACCTGATTTCTCTCTAATCACATGCAGATTTGTTTATAAATATGTATAAGCTTCCACATGCGCTTTCACATTGCCAAATCAGCTGACGACAAGAAGATTTTATCAGGCACATGGAGATTTCTTTATGGCAAAGTCAGCTGAACTTTTAGCGCTCCAGAGGAAAAGAAAAACAGGGTCCGAAAACCTAAAGGCACCTGTCTCTTCCAGCCGAAGAAATTTGTTATGGTTGGGGGTACGTTTTGCTTCTTTTACCAGCTTTAAATTATTCCTCTCTTTCTCCTTAGAAGGCAAAGGGGTGCAGCGCTGTAACTAGCCAGGGTGGTGCCACCATTAGTTAAGTGGAGCAGAACCGCCTGTCCTGCTGTGGCTTTCGGGGGCTCTCCAGACCACGGCATCTAATGACACAACGTCGTTACGACATCGGAGTCGCAGCATGGTGGCTGATTAAGGCTCGTGCAGAGACAGGCCTAATTTTCAGGCTCCGCATTCTTCACTGAAGCACAGTAATTTAATCACAGAGGGCTATGACTGCTCCCGAGAACAAGGTGAGCAGATACTGTTCCACAATGGCAATCCTCTAAGCAGCCATAGGAAACGTCAAAAAGGACAACCAAACCTTGTTTTTCCATCGATATTTTGATTTCAGTGAATAGCCATGTGCTAATTTTCTGACACATTACATAAATGACAGCATCTCTGCTCTGTCTTGGGGAAGAGCTTTCTAATGATGTAACTCCACTTAAGAAATAACTAAAACAATACAACTGAAATTGCAGCGTGGTCAGTGCCAGTTTTCCAGAAGCAAGGGCAGTCTCACCATTCAGCCAATCTCCCTTTTAGTTGCTTAGAGGGCTAGAAATGTGCAGGAGGGATTGGCCTTACAGAGGCCAGAGAGACAGGGAATCTGATCATTTGTATCCTCTGAATTAAGCATCATCAATGCACAGAACATTCGTGGCATAAGCAATTATTTTAGTAATTCTAATAATTATAATGATCATTAAAATATTCCAAATATTTTGCAAAACAGGCAGTGGAAAGTTATTTTCTTTGCTTGTACTTCATAAGCAGGTATTTTAGAAGGTTAAACTCAGCTAAGGCCATTCAGACAGATCTAGTCTGCTGCTCCCTCTGGAGTCTGAGACCAAGATGCCCAGAATAAGCAGATATTCTGGTATGTGTTTTCCATTCGGAATTATGGAAGCTGTGAATAAAATCCCAGCCACGGTGGTTGTTATCGCTGAAACCAGTAAAGCCAGATTTTCACTCCATGCATCTAAGCCCTCAGAAGGCTTTTTTTTATCCCACCGTTTAATTTTGCTCTCACATACCTTCTCTTCAGTAGTTACTTCACCGAAATCAAAGGAGTAAGAATACAGGAGAGGGAATTCTCCATCTGGCTTGAAGGGATATTTTCTAGATCCAGCTCATCTGGATGAGTAATAATTAAGTATCATCAAGTGTCTCTGAGGATAACATCTGCTACAAGTTCTTTGGCTTGCGGTTGTTGGCATATTCCAGAGCTGGGTGGAACAGGGAAGTGGGAGGATTCACTATAGTATTTAATAGAGGGTTGTGCCCCTTTTGACTGGCAACACCAGAAAATGAAGAATGAAATGGCTGTAAATGGGAGAGACTTCACCGGACTATGCTGGAAAGAACAAAACCAGAACTAAAGCCTGCAGTGTAGCCAGGCTCTGCCCATCCAGAGTAACCTCATAGTGGCATATGAAGGATATCAGTTTCCCTCTCCACACATGGTATTTCTTTCATTCTGCTTCTCAGTTTAGGCATTTCTCTTAGTTCTGCATCTTGTGTGAAGGAGGTGTTTAATCCAGCCCTTACCTGGCTGTGGTCTTTTATCCTACCAGGCACAAGCAAGGGGAGAAAGACGACTGGGGGTTTGCTGGCACCTGGGCTGGTTTGTATCAATAACCCCTCGTTGCACTTTAGCACATGGGCATTTATATTGGGGTCCTAAGGTCACAGATTTAAATACAGCTTAAGGGGAAACCTAAACATAATCCATCCACTAACACTCTGGCTGTGCACGTGTGAAGACAACTTTGGAAGCAGGATCTGTTCAGAAAGACCACGACAGACTGTCCTTGTTGGGCAAATTAAGTTCTCCAAACTGTGCTGTGGCCAATGTCCAAAACACTTTTTCTAGACATATGGGCATTAATTAAAAAAGCCTCATACAACACCACACTTTACCTTATAATACATCCCTTCAGCCCTTGTCTCCAAACCCATCCTTCCCACGATCATGGCATTGTACTACTACTCCAATAATACACACATCTTCTCTGCAATTCCCTTCCTGTCTCTCCTCCCCGCCCCACACACAGAGCAGTGGTAACGAGATTCAGGGTCCAACTTTAGAAACATAAATAAGTTCTTACCAGCCAACTCCACCACCGTTGTGCAATGCAACCCAGGTCGCTCCTCTGAACGCATCTCCTACAAAATTTTGTACCGCCATGTCTAGGAGGAAGAGAAAGGTGTCATCATGGCTCTGACATACTGCATTCATTTTCATGTTGTGCTCACTCCTTCCACTGACACCTTGCCTGTGGCTGTGGGACGGCAGTGCTGGAGGCAGGGCATACTCACATCTTCTCTCACAGATACACAGTGAACATCTCATTCTTGGGAGGAACAGGCAAGAGATTTTCCTCCCACTCTTTGCCCCTACACTGCAAATGCCAATGTCACACTGTGGTTTGTGAGGGCTCTGGGGCTTTCTGCATTTGTGATCCAATTCAAGCTGTTGAAGAACCTAGCTGCTCCTCAGCTGGGAGATACCTCCCGAGGGTGGAGAGAAATACAATCCTTTCCTCAGGGATGCCTCAGCCATGGAAGAACAGGCTGGACGCATCCATGTGGAAGGCTTCAAAATGGGGGGGGACATGTGGAAAACTGCACACCTTGCAGTTCTCAGAAGCCTGAAGGTCTGAGGTCAGATTGCAGAGTTAATTCAGCCCTGTGCAGAAAGTCTAAAGCTAAGGAGTTGCATTTTGGGAACACAGTTGGGATGAAAGTGATATTGGCCCCCGTTCTCCAGGCATAGGGGAATTTTACCCTGAACAGGAATGGCTGAAATCACACAGGACATTCCTTTTGTTTTTTAAAAAATGAGGAAAAATAATTTAGCAGACAAATGTCATTTCTCTAATGTCAAACACATGATTTCCACTGAAATGTTCACTAGAATTTTATATGTTCACTAGAATTTGTGCTAAAGGAGACCCCCAGAGAGGTGGAAAGAAGTACATTCAGAGGATAACAGGGTAAAATTTACTGAAAATGTTTGTCCAGATTTAATTCAGGACAGAGTTAATAGATCATTTGTGTGTTTTTAACAGCAAAAAGTAAGAGAAACAGCAATATCCTCGCCAGCCACATTTGCAGAGCCACAGTTGTTACACATCTGATGGAAAAATGAGTTTACTTGAGCACTAATCTACGTTAAATCCTGTCAAAAGCCCCATTATGGCATCTTTCATCTGGCATTATGTCACTTTAACAACCCAATTATCATAATTACAGTGCTGTCAAGAGGGAATGGGAGAGATCAAAATCCCCATATTCTAAAAATGTGCAGATTTCTTCCTCAGCCACCAGCATGACAGGAGCGGAGGTTGGACAAGAAGCATGGCAAGTGGACTAACGATGTAATAACCTGCTGCTCCTTGGCCTCAATAAAGGTCACTAACTGTGCAAATGTCTGTGATGAACTACACACTTTGCCAAGCAGCGATGACCCATATTTGCCAAGGATCAGGCTGAGGTGCTTACTGCAAAACAAAATAAGACAGGCAAACACTCTGGAAAATTCCTATGTGTTAGAGAGGAGCAAATTTCAATGGAACCAGCTCAAATGTGGTGTTAAAAAGAACACGAAAGAAGGGAGAGAGGAAGACCCAGGATGTTCTTTTATTACCTCTAGAGTCTGATCTGGTAAAAGAGAGTTAGGCCTGGTTTCAAAGACCAGTGACATCAGCGGTCAGTAGGCTTTAGGTAAGCCCTTGGAGAAGGCAAATGGGTCACGTAAATCACAAATCGCAAAGAAAACCACATAGCATGATGAACAATGGGGTTTTAGCAGGTGTTGTTTCTATTGCTGGAGGTTTCCTTATATTGCTAAGCCCTTTGGTGGAGACATTACTTTGGATTGCTCTTCTCTGCAGCTGCACCATTTTCTCACAGCTTGTCAGAAAGAAACATTATTCGAGGAATCTATCCATCTGGCCTATTAGAACTAGCCAACATACTCGAAAGGTGTTGAAGTGGGACTGACAGACACAGCTAAAAGCCTCTTTTCATCAGGAAATCCAGTTAAGATAGCAGGGAACTTTTCTCCTTAAAATTGAGCCGCAATTTGGTTCTATTATGAATTCCCATAATGGAAGTCATTCAATATGCTCAGCTATCTCTAACATAATTTCTCCCTCTACAGCAGCTTGTATCCTCCAATCTCAAGCCACTTTGTGATTGTCACTTCGTGTCAGGCAGAAACACTACTGGGCTAAAGCTATTATCATAATTTCCACTTTATGGATGGAAAATTGAGGAAAATTTAGTTTAAAAATTGCTTAGTGCTTCATGCATTTTTTTCAGGCCTCCAATCCGATATTTCTTGGGTTTATTTTTCTAAAGCACCATGTCACAAACTTAAAAGCAGAATCTGGTTAGCTCAGGTCAGGTGTGCAGAATTAAAGGCTCCTTTTGTATAGCAAACCTACATGATTTGCCCACAGTCACACTGTAAGATATTGAAGTGAAAGCTCCAAGGCTTGGAGTCTAATCCAGAACGCCTGACTTCCATTCTTATGCTTTTACTATCAAAGTATGTTCCCTTATGACCAGAGAAGTTCCTTTCACGAAACTCCAGACCCTTTTCTTGAGTCCTCAGGCAATGAAATGAAAGCAGTTATGAATCTTTTTGCTTTAAGCAAAATACTATTATAGACCCGATTTTGATTTTGTGGATCCCAAGGAAATACAGCGGTAATTCTGCTCGGATCAGCTCTTTGAAATAGTGAGGTACAAAATTAAAATCAAGCAGAAGATACAGTCCTGAGATAAACTGCTCTCCATTTACATTCAGGTAAGTCTGGTGCATCTTCATTGAATTTTCAGCATTGTTCTGGACCTTTCCTATTTAACTACCTCCATATTCATGTCTGTATCACTATTAAATCCCACAAAGCTTCTCAGGAAATCTGCTTAATTGGGATTAAAGGGTTAAACAAAAGAAATTTTTAAATGTTGCATAAAAAAAAAACCCTAATTCTCTTTTAAAGCAATTTCCTTGTTTGCCTGGACAGACAAATCTCAGCTGCTCTGCTGACCTGCGCAAAAGGCTGATCCATCATAAATGTTTGACGTTTCTCTATAAGGACTGTCGGTCCCACTCACATCATGGTGATCTCTGCTGAGGACTACTGGAGCCTGTAGAAAGCCAAAGACAAGAAAATGGAATCCTTCATGGACTGTCAGTGTTACTGAGGATGATCATTTGCTGAATTCACGTCTGTCATTTCAAACCTCAGCTTTATTCCCTCTCCTAAACCCCCCAAAAACACATTCTCTGCCTGCTTTTATTATAAAACAGTTGTTAACACACTGTTCATGAAAGCCACCATCCTTTCATAACTAAGAACAAGAGCTTGTTTTTATGCCAATGGCATCCTCAAAGGAGGGCAGGGAGAAGAGGGGAAGCAGTATAGTTATTTCATCTGAGCATTTCTTTGCTGCAATTTCAAGGACATTTCGGTATGTAAAAATCTTCATTAAAAATATTTCTTATTTGCTGTTGAAAATGAAAACTAACAGTAAGGAATTTTACATTTGTTTATTCTTTTGGAAGTCTTCATGACTAAAAATAAGTTAGCAATGAAAATCAGTGATTTCATACAGCTCAAACAAGCCCATTCTTGGTCTGGAATTTAACTGACAGTATGAATCTAGTCCAGCTTGCAGGTCTTCATTATCATTTGCCATGCACAGCGCTTATATGAGAATAATTCACTCTTGGCATGGTCTGGATTTAGCTGACTGGTTTATGCTGGCAGTGAATTAGGAAGTAATTGAAAATAGACACGAGCACCCAGCTTGCAAGAGGGGAATGGAGATTTGCAGAAACGAAAAAAAAGGATGCAACAAAATCTAAAGGGCCTGGGAGTGTGACCTGGTCAGTCATATCTCCAAGGGAGTGCTCTGCCTGGTCAGGTTTATTTTTTAAGACTAGCTTGCAGTGACGTTAATTTTGAATCCTGAGAAGGTCAACAGCATTTGAAATATTTTAGCAAACATTTTCTGAGTAACAAAACCCAGATGTTTTCTAGGTAGAATCCATTCTAAGTTTTACTTGAGTTTGCCCCTTTGAAACAGGTAATTGTAATACAGCTATAAAAGAGATGGAGATGAATGAGTGAACATGTCTTGGTCTGATGCTGCAGTACACACAGCGAGTGACGGGTATAATTACTGAGTGGTGCCTTCAGGATTTTGGTCCCCCAGGTTGTCACATTGTACACCTACCTACAATACTGATGAAGAACTTAGAAAATCCCTACACAACCTTGCCCATAGTATGCACTTTTACCACCACTACATATGGTCAGTGGGATTCTACTCAGATGATTAAGATACTACTTATTATGCACTAGAGTGGCAGCATCAAGCCTAATGATTTTTTTCATTCACATACACAATGCAAATGGAAATTGACTGCAGAGCTGGTGGTAGCCTTAATATGGCTGAACATGAGGGACAGAGGGCACAAAGCACTGGGCAGTGGCACAGTCTCTTGTACATTTAATGTTTGTGGCACTGCTAAGGAGTTAAGAGTCCCGGTCTTGTGTTTTCAGCAAATAACAGCAGGATATGTTGTGCTTGTAGATGTCCAAATAGAAAATAAGGCAGATTCCCAACATGAAATAAAAGGTAGCGTATTTCATGGAGTTTCTAAACCTGTCTCTCTTCTATTATATAGTGCAATGCAGGTAACAGGCAGAGAGGAGGACTGAGCTCTAATACATGCTAACAATACTGGTCCCACATAAACAGCAGGCACTTCTACTTTCACTGGTTGAAGCTTTCTCCTTTCCCATCTGCCACCCCACTCTCAGATACTAAACACAATTACCGGACCATATCAAGACAAAAAAAGACAAACCTTAATCCTTCCTTCGGAAATCGCTCGATTAATAGCCACAGCTATAGACACACGACCTCTCTGATCAGAATATAAGATTCTAGCTTGAGAGCCAACAACCTGGAAAATAAAAATGCCAGAGCGATAAGGTTCTCTGTGCAACTCTCTTATCTTCGGGCCCCAGATAAATGGAGTCACAGGACTGACACCTTCTGTAGGACAAAGTGCAGATTATTTCTTCATCAATGTCCAGCTTCCAGAAAAAAAGAAATTAAAGTCCTTCTTTGAACTGAGTTTTATCTCCACTCACACAATCAGCGAGATGTATTTCTGTATTCAGCTGCTACTGAATAAATCCCAGTTTTTAAATCAACATGATTGCTAGGCTATAATCCCCCTATCAACAAATCCCTTATCAACAGCAGAGAAGCAGAGATTTGGAACTGGTGTTGGTGGGCTGGAAGGGAAGAGAAATATGTGATGGCAAAGAACAGCAAAGAACATCTGTGGTGCACAGCTATGCTCCTCTCCTGCTTTCACCCCACAGACCAATCTGGCTTCCAGATGAGGAGAACACATGTGAACCATACAGCGTTATTGGTTATCTTCACAGTGAGAGCAAGAAAAACAAAGGATGCTTCACTGGCATCCTGCTTCCCCCAGTGCAAAACACTGGCAGCTCTCTGGCCTCATCACTTGTATTAAAAAGGGTACCGAGAACTGCAGAGGTGAAGAGGTTGGGTGAATATTTTCAATAGCGCTCTGAAAGAAAGGTAGTTGCAAATGACATGGAGGGTGAATCATTGACTTGTTTAACTCCAGATATAAGACTAGATATTGCTGGATTATTTGAACACTTCCAGATGAGGAAGAGAAGGGAAAGAACTGCTTCAGCTCACCCTAAAACCCTGCTACGGACAGATGTTTAAGTTCTCAGCCCTGGGAGTTACAGCCAGTGTTTTTATTCATGCCCTCTCCTGCTTTTCGCTCCTGCATTCTGAACCAGGAGTAGTCACATGTGCTGAAGGAGGTTGTTCACTTACCAAGCTGTGCCTGCCAGCCTCCCGAATCCAGCGGATGTTGTCATGGTACTGCTGCTTCACAGATGTGCTCACTTGCAAGAGAAAACAAGAAAAGAAAAGAACTTTTGAAAATAAATGCAAGATGCTCTATATTTAATTTAATTCATCTGACAGCACTAGGAAGTCAAATTCTATTCTCAGATACAAGCATGCATATAGGAAGTACTATATAGAATCTTCTGTGCAGCTGATGCAGTAACTGGTACCATACATTTAGAGGAAGGTAGGAGATGTTGCCCAGGAGACAGCTGGAAAGATAACTCCCATTCAGATCTTTAGCAAACTAAATTAAACCTTGAAATATGGGTTACATGTACTGGTCATTTTTGGTCACCTGGTTTGCTGCCTACTAAATGCCCAATCCCTTTCTGAGCCTCTGCTAAATTAGGAGCTTTAGCAAACTCCATGACATACTCCAATACATACTTGAGGATAAGTTACACCAATGCTGGGATATAGATTTGCAGCACAGCAGTTGCTCTGTACTAAATGGCCCACGTGAATGTTTTTATTCCAAGATAAAACTGAGGTCTCTTATTCTACAAACTGAGGTATGTTGCCTCACACTACTATGGAGCACAAACCGCACAGAAAAACTTATTATGGAGTAGCTACTTTATGTGTAAATCCACCGTACACCTTGTTTAGATATGTATGTTACTATATAAGCAGAGAATTATATATAATGGTTTTATACTCTCCAGCTTCTCTTCTCATCTAAATCTGTGCCATTCCATCTCAATCAGCCAAACCAAAGAGGAGTAAGAATAAAGATATTTGAAGTGAAAGACAAGTGAAATGTGGCATGTATCAGTCAGATACATGGTGAGCACAGTACAATCAGCTGCCTCCAAAGGCATGGCACCGCCTGCCTGTAGCAAGGGAGATGGGGCATGGAATGGGACAGAAGCATTGTCTTACTGTCTGTTACAGTCAGGCCTTTCCACGCAGGCTGAGTGTGAGCTCAGATGAAGTTACAGTGGCTGAAGAAATTACTGCCTGTAGGTTCCTTCTCTATGGGATAAGCTACGTCACATTGCCTTGTCCTGAGAGATACGGTCAGCTACCAGGGCACAGCTGGCATGTGGCAACACGCTAAGCGCCACCGTGACTTCCTCATGCACTGGAGCTTCAAGTTATAATCACTTCTGCAGATGCCAAGATAGCATGTTACCCATCACTTTCCAACTCACCCATTTTCAAATCAAATTATAATGTACATATAACTTACATTTGAAAGTCTGTCAAACTAGAGAAACTGCACACTGCTAACTTGAAATCGCCCCTGGTAACTGAGAAGAGTGTTTAGACTGCTGTCTTTCCACTAGGCAGTATGTCAGCAGATATGCATAGTAAAACTAGAAAAAGGAAAGAGCAAAAGGCAAGATACTAATATTTAATCTGGGTTAAACACATTGTTAAAGGGAAATGTAAAATATGCTCATTCCTGCAGAGGCAGGCCTTCCGTACAGAGAGCTTTAATGATCCTAAAAAGACCTGTCAGTGCTTTAGGGGTTGGCTCCAAGTGATAGCTTCTAAACTCTGCAATGAGGATTAACATGTCAGCTCTTAGCTTCACAGCGACTGAAAGATGAAACATCTGCTAGTGCTGTCCTAGCAGGATTGTGCTGCCATTCATAAGCTTTAAGGAAGCATCTTCTAGAAGGCAGTATTTACTTAGGTTATTATAGATATTTAATGAGAGTTTACAGGAGTTACTCTAGAAAAAAATGAATAAAGAATGAGTTAATTTCTATAATTTTTATAAGCTATTTCAGAGAGTATTTACCATATTTTATATTTCACAGTGCACAGACATACAGAAAAGGTCTTCCTGCCTGTTAGTTCCATAGAACATGTGCAGAAAAGAAGCCAAATGAGAATACTGGCTACAAGGACATATCTCAACACAGCACATCTGTCCCTCTCAGAGAGCTCCGATAAACACTCATTCTCCATCCTACACTATGGTGTGTCCAAAGTTGGATTTCATCAGTTATCCCTGGGGAAGTGAAGAATCCTCCCTTTTATTTAGTCTGACTTCCTGCAATTGAAAAAAATCTCATTTGCTAAACTGCTGCCTCCACCTCCCCAGGCAAGCTACTGTGTTGCTTTCATAGGCCTTTGTACTTATTTGGGATTTAAAAGATATTAGGAAGCTTTGTGTACTCAGAGGAACAGTCCTCATCAACACAGAGTTTGGCTCCTCTTGCTCTTGGGAGATCTGTATTGTTGCTACGCATCAGCTTGGCCTTCAAACTACCACAGAGGTCATAAATCCAAGGTACACTCCTACCATCAGTGCTGAACCTCTCGTGCAAAGGCTATCTCAAAAGCTTGGGTACCTTAGGAGCAGAAGCAGATAATAAAACTACATAGGACTTTTCCACAGTTTGTGAGGTTTAAGCACAAAAATTCATCTCCACAAAAGGAGAAGAATGGTTAACATTGGACTCAAGGCCAGGTCAAAAGTTCAGACTTGGAATGCAACAAACTTCAGCTCTGTGGAGTTTTCACTCAGCCTTCATAACAGACTCTTATAAAATTCAAAGGTAGGTTCAGATTTTAGATGTATATGTGTATGAGGATATCCAGACCCTGGAATTTGGTCCAAGCCCAGGACCCATAGGAAGTGAACAGCAAGTCAAATACTCAAGAACGTGAAACCATGAATGGCTGTTTATTTTCTGGCCAAATTCTGTTCTCATTTCTCTTTGAAATCCTATTCCCATTGTCCTGCCAAAATCAACATCAAATCCAATAATAGCCTTGCCCTTAAGCCTGTTTTTACCTGTTGGGATTTTTTAAAGTAATTTTTCATTTAAATTAAGAATATACATGCAAGAATTCAATGCTTTTTGTCTGTGGAAGAGACTGTCTCTCCAGCTTTATGTTACCATCCATATAAACACCCACATACTATTGTGCACACAGTGACTGATTCATTTTGGAGTCTTGCAATGCAAACCATCCAAAGGCCATTCATCGGTTCGATCTTGAGAAGACAACTGGAGATTGCAGTACATGGCAGAAAAATTACTGCAAACTCTTGAAGATAGATTCAGAACTACAGTATTGGATATCTCCCTCCCTTCAATTAAGTTGAGAGACCAGGTTTAAAAACATGAAAGTTTCAATATGCATAGAACAGGGTAGGCACTTCTGGATCATTGCATTAAAAACACCCCATCCTCCAGTGCTATGTCTTGAAGATGACTCCTAAGGAGAGTTTAGAAGAACATCCAGAACTAAGGACCTTGCAGGGTCAGACCCACTCTATCAATAACTCAATTCTTGGGAGGAAGAGGAAGCTGGACACGAGCCTTACATTACAGGAAGACAACAGGAGTTTTGTTTCAAATGAGAGACATATCTGAATGTGGTATATCCTTTTCCAAAATACCACCCTAGATCCTCACAATGCTAACTGTTCCAGAGCAAATAGGAGAGCATGCAAATTTTTCACGCTTCTATTCATATTTCAATGATGCCTCATGAAAGAAGCAATAAATATTTCAATATTATCAGATAAAAATATTATGCTTTCCCCCCCATAAAATATTCTTTATATTTGTGATCCATTTCTTTCTGATCCTTTCCCTGATTCTGAGAAGCACAAAGCTCTGCTCTCTGGAAACAGAAGAGTTGAGGACTTCAGTGCTAGAGGACAACGACACTTAAGTTCATGAGTCTGCTGTTCAGTTACTGTAAAAGTAGACAACGAAAGCGAAAGTAGTAGGGCTTTCCACTGCAACCTGGGAGATCAGGTTTTATGTTTGTTTATATTAGCTTTGTCTAAGTTCCCATCCGTAAGCAGGGGATAACAGTAATAGCCCACTTTCAGGGATATGGAAGAGTGAAATAGCCCACTTTCAGGGACATGGAGGAGTGAAAGCGTGTAATTCCTAGATACTCAAGTAACATCGAGAGCCAGACAGATATTCCAGATTGGTTCCACCAGTGAATAGAAGCAGCTGTCAATTTATTAACAAATGACAAAAAAGGAAGACCTCAAAATTGTAATCACAAATAAATGACACTGGATGGAGCACCACACCCATGAAACCTGAGTTTCCTGCCACTGATCTGCTAGCTAGCCTCTTAAAAACCTCCCTAGGTGCCCATGCCTCGTCCACCTGTGAGACAGTGGCAAAGCAATTTGACTCCTTTAAACAGCTCTTGGAGACCTGTTGATGAAAGATACTGTTTGCCTTAAAGTTCCAAGGTGACAAAAATGCATGAAAATCTGTAACAAATGAAAAGAAAGGCTTTTGGCCAAAGTTGCAACAATAGCTATGGGATCAATAACCTCTCTATAAGGTGTTTTTACATTTTACCTACTGGTTACACTCCTTACAGGAGAATAGCAAGATTTCCTGCCCACGTGGAACAGGCTTTCTATGGTTCCAGCCAAAAGCTAACACACTTCTCACAAGTCTGTTTCCTTTTCTCCCCAAAAGCACTCCCAGGTGTGGGGGAATGGGATGGTGTCTTACCTCCCTGACGTATAGAGTCTTCCAGCACAGACATGGCAATTGAGTCAGTGGTAGCAAGATCCTGTGGGTCACCTGAGGTACAAACCCAGCGGAATGGCCCAAATCCCAGGGAAAAAATGTCCCTGGGAAGAGAACATGTTTCATTAAGAGATAATTGAAATTCTTTCCTTATTTATCCTGGCTGCTAGCAGTGCTTTTCTTTCATTAGCTGGAGACGGAAGAATTTGAAACATTTTCAATGAACTAATCTAAACAGAAGCATCAAGGACCATTAATTGAGAAATCAAACAGTGCTGTTTCATGCAGCCATCGACTGGTGTATAAAAATACAGTCAGGCCAGAATTTTAATAGAAATGTTGGGCAGTTCAATCACACAAGTGCATCATCAGATAAATTGCAATTTTTCTTTTGTTTCACCAAATATGTTCTCCCTGCTGCCTGGTCTTTTTGTCTTTAACCCAGGCTAACTCTGAGTGCATCTACACTATCAGACAAGTGTAGGTTCTGAACAAGTGCCTGAGTCCAGACTCATTTGCCGTCCACATTGTTTACACACAATAGTAAGACACGCTTCAGTTGAGTTCCAGAAAAGATCTAATCTGGTTGGTGCCTTACTCTATGTTCAAGCTGTCATTCACATGGTATAGGCAAGTTAGGCATGTGTCAGAGGCAAAAGGTGTTACAAACCCAGATCCACAACAGATCTCCTGAGCTCAGCTTTTCCTACAAGCAGCATGCACAGCTTGGCTAAGAGGTACAGTGGGCAGCATGGGCAGAAGAGTGTCCCATTTCAGACATGCTTTTAACTTCAGTGTAGACATAGGCTTTGATGATTTGAATTGAGCTGTAGTGCTCTAGAGAGACAAACTCTTAATTTTTAGCACCTAGAAATGAAGTTGCATATATTTACAATTTGAGGCTGTGACTTGGCTATTCTTTTGAGCAGACCTGCTTAAGTGATGCAACAAAAGAGAAAATGCAGCTATTAATATAAAGGAGTGAAGAGTTTTGATTTGGCAATATTTTAGCTTACTGTTTACACATCTGGTATCTGCTTTCATAAGACCTTTTAATTCTAAAAAGGATAAACCTTTACATCAAATTATCAAGACATGCTGTGCCTTTCAGAACAAAAATATTAGCACAACTTCTGCTGTTAGAGTTTACTTATGTTAATCACATACAACACATCCCTCCAGGTCTGGGTTTTCTTTTCCCCTGTACGCAGGAAAATGCAAGGAGTAACTCTAAGGAAGCCAACAGAAGACATGAGCATGATGATTACAGCCAACAATATATCTTCCTAAACCACACTGGGTGTTACTCCAGAGTGGAGAAAAATAAGACTAACTGTGGCATAACACCTGTGAGATCAATTTTCCTACTGCTACTGTTGACTCCTTTTCATCATTTTGAAATTTGCACTAAGTGGAATCTCTGTAGTACTCTCCCCCTAAACAGAGGGAGTCACAGGGCACCTGAGTGCTTTATTGCAGACTCTCCCCAACATACCCCATGATGTGCTGAACGTAGGAAGGATATCGAAATTCTGTTTTATTGCCTCCTCTTTTCTCGACATCAGCACCTATAAAAGAATTTTAATAGTCAGTGACTTGATGAAGAAAAACTATGAAATGCAAAAACAGACTGCATGTGGGTTCCCATGAAGGCTCTACCTGAGCCACAGAGGAGGTCAGGGGTCTTGGAGAACAAGAGAGATACTAAAGAGTTAGCATAACACAGTGGCCAACCCTGTCCTACCAAAATATACAGCTGAGAAGATGCATGCAGGATTGTCCTTGTTTCCACCTAACAACTCTAGGATCTACTCACCAGCCCTTTGAGCTTCCAAGAGAAAAGCATTGCCATAATCCCAAAAAAACATGCCCTTATCAGCTAGTCTGTTAATAGCAGCCACTTGTCTCTTCAGACTGAAATAAAGAAGGAAACAGTTATTCTTGAGATTGATAAAATATCAAAGAGAATAATATCATGAACTCACTAGAGGCATGGAAGTAGGGAGAGACAGATGGAACTGAAAGACCTCGGAGAAATTCAGACATAAACCCATAAAATATCAATTGAGATGCTTTCAGTCTCTGTAGCACCTGTTAGCCTCAAATCTTGAGATTATATTAAGGGAACTTAATTAGCAGAGAGGGGTCACATCTTTCAACAAAGAAATTACCTTACAAGCTCAGAGCTGGCTGTATAACAAAAAACAGCCTACACAAAACTGCAAAACAGTTTAAGTTCACAGAGAAAGTGAGCAGAGACAGAGAAACTGAAAATGGCTAAACATCACTGTTCCAGTCTCTCCCTTAGCCAAAACAGCCCAATTTTCCCTTTGTTTCCAATAGCGGACCATACCCCAGGACTGCTCTCTGTGATATCATTTCCACTTAATATTATGTAGCTCTAATCCCAATGCATAGTTGCATATGGAGTTGTACTGAATTTCTACTGAAATATCAAAGAACAGAAACTTTTTTTTGAGAAAGACAAAGATCCAGTCACTTGCAGAGCAACTAAATTTAAAGGTTAAAAACATGTATTGCCAACACATTTACCTCTCTTGTACCAGGGTCCGGAACTTCCCCGGATTGGTGGAAAGAAGCTGCTTTGCTTCCTCAAAGCCAAGCTGTACCGGATAGTATCCCCCGCTGAATGGGTTATGACACGAAGTTTGGTCAGACCCCAAATCAACTAGCAGCTCTCCTGTTGTGTCCAACTCATATACTAGCCTCTCCCTGGGGAAGACAATGAATGGAGTGTTTGAACAGAAGCTGTCATTTCACATTCTAGTTCCTCCTTCAGGTGAACTTCTTCCATCCCAAAAGGCTGTTCATAAAGGTATGCCCTTGGCAGGCTAAGTCCTCATTTTAGCAGTCAGGAGGTGGGAAATGATGGTGATGAAGATTTAGGTGTGACTTTTATACTTCAGATTTACCTGTGCAGGAATG